ACTAAAGTTTACAATAAAGGGGAAACGCAAACAAACCTTGGTGCTCACTCCTCAGGGTTAGGGAGAAGGGGAATGAGCGGTACAGCTTGCAAACTTGAAACAACTCTGATGCAATGAATGGCGATCTAGACTGAATGGTCCTGCCTCTGGAGTTGATCCTTCCCTCTCTCTCAGTTTCTACCCCCCAACACATACCACAGCTAGTAGTTCTGCAATTTGATGTTTGAGTTCCTTCAGAACTTGTGCGTGAATATCATCTGGTCCTGGAGACTTTCACTGTTTAATTTATCAGTTTGTTTTAAAACGTCTGTGATGGGTTGTCAACCCCGGGTTGCAGGCTGGGAACCGGTGGAACCACAGAGCCCCATAACCATTCAGCTGGGCTGGCCTCTCTCACACTGCTCTGGGGGTGATACACAGCCAGCCTCTCCAGGCCCTGTTATCACCCAAATGACAGCACACCGAACTGAGCTACCTGAGTGCTTTACCTAAGCCACTCAAGGACAAACAGGAGACAACAACCAATTTCCCAGCTCTATAGCCTTGCACCACTGCTGGAGTGTAGACCCAGAATTCAACCATCTTGCACTGCACAGGTGTCTGAACAGCATTAGCTCATTAATACAGGTCGCTTTCCCCTTGATGTGGGAAAGATATGCAACAGCCTTTGTACACAGAGCTGAGATTCTCCTCATACACTTTACTCAAAACACGCTGGTTATGATTAAACATAAAACAAGTTTATTAACTACGGAAAGATAGGTTTTATGTGATTATAAGTGAAAGCAAAAAGATCAAAGCAGATTACATAGCAAATAAACAAAACTACAAACCAAGGCTACCACACGAGACAGACTGGGTATGAATTAGCAATTCTTCACCCTGACTGATGATACAAGCCATCCACCAAGTTTTCACACACAGGCTAGAAATCCCTTTAGCCTGGCAGCTCTTCCCCGAGTTCAGTCTTTGTTCCTAAGGTGTTTCCAGGAATTCTCTTGTGTGGGGAATGAGGCCAAGAGATGATGTCTCTCCCCACATTATACAGTTTTTCCATATGGCAGAAACCCTTTGTTTCAAGACAAGTCCCCAGCCCAGTTTGTGAAAAAAATACAGGTACCGATATGGAGTTCAGTGTCATGTGGTCTTATCCCCTGCCTTTGCCTGCCCTGCTGAGTCATAGCAAGCATTACTGATAGGCTGGCTGAAACATACACAGGAAGGCTAAGCTCTTCCATGGTCTATTGTCTTTGTTGATGAGCCATCAGCCCTGTCCAGCTTCTTCACTGTTGTAACTGAAAGGCTGGTTGAGGCTGTTACCCAGAGTAAACACATTTGAAATACAGATTGTCAAGGTTCCTTCCCCACTCTGAACTCTAGGGTACAGATGTGGGGACCTGCATGAAAACCTCCTAAGCTTACTTTCACCAGCTTAGGTTAAAACTTCCCCAAGGTACAAATTAATTTTACCCTTTGCCCTTGGATTTACACTCCCACCACCAAACTTTATGTGGGTTTACTGGGAAATGTAGTTTGGACAAGTCTTTCCCCCCAAAATCCTCCCACCCCTTGCACCCCACTTCCTGGGGAAGGTTTGGTAAAAATCCTCACCAATTTGCATAGCTGACCACAGACCCAAACCCTTGGATCTTAGAACAATGAAAAAGCATTCAGTTTTCTTACAAGAAGACTTTTCATAGAAGTAAAGGAATCACCTCTGTAAAATCAGGATGGTAGATACTTTACCGGGTAATTAGATTCAAAACACAGAGAATCCCTCTAGGCAAAACCTTAAGTTACAAAAAAGACACACAGACAAGAATAGCCATTCTATTCAGCACAGCTCTTTTTTCAGCCATTTAAAGAATCATAATCCAACACATACCTAGCTAGATTACTTACTAAAAGTTCTAAGACTCCATTCCTGTTCTGTCCCCGGCAAAAGCATCATACAGACAGACACAGACCCTTTGTTTTTTCTCCCTCCTCCCAGCTTTTGAAAGTATCTTGTCTCCTCATTGGTCATTTTGGTCAGGTGCCAGCAAGGTTACCTTTAGCTTCTTAACCCTTTACAGGTGAGAGGATTTTTCCTCTGGCCAGGAGGGATTTTAAAGGGATTTACCCTTCCCTTTATATTTATGACACAGATACACAGTCAATATTCATAACTTGAGGTACAAAAATGATACATGAACACAAATACTATAATCATATTCAGCAAATCATAACTTTTCCAGTGACACCTCACAAAACATATCTTGTACCAGATGCATCATAATTATCTCATCACCATTTCATAATCATACCAATATGATGAATATGGGGTACAGCATCAAAACCTCCTCTATTGACACTTCAATCTGGGACAGTTCCCCATATTTGTCTCCTAAAAAGAATGGCTCAGGTGTGGGACTCTCCCTCACATCCTCTGTAGTGAAGACCAATGCAAAGAATTCATTTAGCCTCTCTGCAACAGCCTCATCTTCCTTGATTGCTCCTTTAACCCCTGGATCTTCCAGTAGCCCCACTGATTGTTTGGCAGGCTTAGTGCTTCTAATGTTTTTAAAAAAATTCTGATAATTAATGCTACATTTTAGTCACCCACTGTTTTCTCCCTAGGGAAGTCTCTGCTTGATTGATTGATGAGATAAATAGATGAAGCTCTTTAAATCTTTCTCTGTCAGGCATCTTCTCCAGTCTCCAATCATTAATGTGTTTTTTTTTCTGCACCATCTCCAATTTTACAACATCCTTTTTGAAATGGGGACCCCAGAACTTGATGCAGTTTCATCAATAATTGTATTATTGCATCAAGCTCCGTCTCTTCTCATCAAACCCCACCCTCACTGTATACAGCCTCCCTCTCCAAATACATTCCAAACCCCCAAGGCGGACCAGCCCCCAGTTTGAGAACTTCTGGACTAGATGATCTAATGGCTCCTTCTGGCCTTAAATTCTATGGCTCTGTGAATCGTTGTCTTGAGTGGGTCGTTATCTTCGATGCAACTTGAACAAGTTGCTACTTTGAATGCTGACAGGCACTCAACAAGGATAGATGCTTGCCAAGAAGAATCTGGATTGTCACAGTAAAACAGGGACATATGGTCTCTTTACCCTCTTAACCAGGTCCTTTCCTGTCTTGGGGGGAGTCTCAAAATTGTCCCACTCTTCGAACTAAGAACAACACTTCTTCTATGCTAAAAGCTTATCACCAAGCAGGTCTGACAGGACACCTCAGCCTCTTCCCTTCGGGTGCTTGTGTCCAGAGCTATACAGTCATTCCCAGCCTCCTAAAGTCTCTTTAAAACTAGTAGATTTATTGGCAAACAGCACAAAGCATTAGAGAAAATGGTTTGAAAATACCAGGCAGCTGTCACACATCTACACTCATCTATCTCACATCTCACTACAAGCTACATTAGACAGGCTTTGCACTGGAGACAGAGGAACAGAACATTCTTTTGGGATGCCAGTGAGCTCTTGGGACCCAGCCTAGTTTCCCTGTGTCCCTGAGAGCATCTTCCCGTCTGTTTGCCCCTTTCTTGTAGAAGCAGCCTTTGCTCCCCCCAGTGCAGCAGAAAGCAGGGATGGCAAGCAGCCAGTTACAGGGGTTTGATTCTCTGGCTTGCTCCCGCCTGCATCAGTGGAGTTTAGAGCAGCCTGGGGGCTCGACTGACCTCTGCCCGATGATAATGGCTACCAAGAGCACTGTCCACTCTGGCCACATCCCTGTGGCTTGGGGACACCCCAGAGTGCCCCTCGTGGCCTGAGGTATCCCTGCACACACCCTACCCTTCCTTCTAAGGTCATAGTGTTGCCGGCACCCAGTGCCGAGAGGCTGAACAACAGCTTGAGTGGTTCGTTACCTGGTGTGCTACACCCAATAATCACAACGGGGTGGAGAAGCAGAAAAGTTTATTTGAAGCTTCAAATAGGTACAGGGAGATTTGAATCTCAAATCCTGTACACAGAGCAGGAAGTTACACAGGCTTTTATACATCCTTTTTCCCAGCATACTTATCCAATAGCAAGCTGCCCCAAGTATCCATATAGCCAGCCAATCCAGTTCCCAGCTAGTTCCCTGGTTCTCTGTATCATTTGTTAAACTATACATAAAGCTACTTTATTCAGCATTGTTCTTCCATATTTGCCCTGTTTGGCCTTGCTTAGTTTCAGGCAGTCTGACTCTGCAGCATATTGTTGCAGATTCTCAGCATAACTGCTGTGTGTGTGCCTCCAGGTGGGGGGCCCAGGACACTTGGGCCTAGTACGCAGAGCTGCTGCAAGTGCCTCCAGGCGGGAGAGGGGGCCAAAGACACCTGGGCCTAGTGCGAGGGGGCTTCATCGACACTCATGGTCTTTCATCCCCTCGAGTTACCTAGTGGCCATGCCCCAGTGTCCCCAACAACAGCAATGACTTACGCTCATTCTGAATACTTAAGAGCCCCCTTTATGGGGTCACACTAATTCAGTCTTGTCCAAAACACAGGTTCTCTGTCCCTCGAGCCCCATCCTCCTCCTTTACTCAGGAAACCTCCCACCATCCTCCTTGTTAAGATTTACGGCATCCCCTGCTCCTACTTTTCTCCTGAGGTCCAGCCCCCTGCTTCTCCACTTCCCCCCAGGCTCCACCCCCAGCCAGGCCAGGGTCCAGCCATAGTAAAAGTGGCCCTGGGACCCCAGGCTGCTGTGGGGATTCTCGGACTCTCCATCTTCCCTGGGTTCTACATCCAGAGGGTGGTAAAAAGTGGAGGCTCCTCAAAGTGTCTCTGATTCACTAGGCAGCTCTCATCATGGCCTGGCCCTGGATTTCAGCCAGGAGAGGGGCTGATGCCTCAGGTAAAGAGGAGGAGCACGGGGTGGGGTTTGAGGAGAAGAGACGGAGCAGAGGGAGGGACCTCGGAGGAAGAGGATCCAGGATGGAATAGGTGGCTGTGTCCATGGCCTGTGTTTTTCATCTCTGGTGGCACAGCGCTGGAGCTGGGTGGTGAACTGACCCTTCACTTCATGAACGCCCTGATTATCCTTGCACGGAGGTGCTTGCTTTTCACGCTGTACACAATTGGGTTCATCAGTGGTGGGACCAGCAGGGAGATGTACCCTAGGAGAATCTGAAGCAAGGGAGGCGAGTTCTTCCCAAATCTGTGTATCACAGTCAGGCCAATCTCTGGTGTGTAGAAGAGCAGAACAGCACAGAGGTGGGAGACGCAGGTGTTCAGGGCCCTGAGGCACTCCGTGTGGGATGCGATGCTCAGCACTGTTTTGAGGATCATCACATAAGAAAGGAGGATGAACAGCGAGTCCAACCCTACAGTTAAGAGTGTAACAGACAAGCCATAGATGTTGTTGACTGTGATATCCAAACAAGCCATCTTCATGACATCCTGGTGCAGGCAGTAGGAATGGGAGAGGACATTGTCTCTACAGTATTGGAACCGTTTCAGGAGAAAGGGGAATGGGAATACTACGGCCACTCCTCTTAGTACAAACACCAGTCCCATCATGGCTGTTCTTAGCAGGGTTAAGGTGGAAGCATATCTCAGCGGGTCACGGATTGCGACAAAGCGGTCAAAGGCCATCAGCAAGAGTATGGAGGATTCAGTGAATTGAAACGAATGGATGAAGAACAGCTGGGCAAAACAGGCATCCAGGCTGATCTCCCTGTACTTAAACAAGTATACACCCAGTATCGTTGGCATGGTGGATATTGATAAGCCAAGGTCTGTGACGGCCAACATGGAAAGGAAAATGTACATGGGCTCATGGAGGCTTGGATCTGTTTTTATAATGAACAGAATGACCGAATTTCCTACTATCAAAATGACATACATTAAGCAGAAGAGGATAGAGATCCAGAGATGGACGTCTTCCTGCCCAGGTATCCCAGTGAGAAGGAACACTGCAGATATGAATTTGGTGTCATTGACAACTGACATAATGGACTAGGCAGTTCTCAGGAGTTTTGAGCTTTCCCTTCTGAAAGGAAAAAGAACAGGAGACTAGATTATATTTAGCTAGACATCTTTCTGCTCTCAGCACAAGTCTAGAGATGCCCATGAGCTCAAAGAAAATCAGCAAAAACATAGCCTTGGATTTACACCACCGATAGGAAGATAGGCACTGCCAGACTGGATCAGACCTGCAGTCCATTTAGCTCAGTATCCAATGGCCAGTTCCAGATGCTTCCGCGGAAGGTGGAAGAAGCCCTGCAATAGACTGCTATGAATTACCTGCTCCCTGGAAAAGTTTCTGCCTGACACCCACTAGTTAGACATATTTTGTGGTATAAATCAGAAAGGTTTAGAGCCCTTCCAAGAGTTTTTTTTTTAAATACTGTATTTGGATTTTCTGGTTCCCCATCCAAATATCCAGTCACTTTTTCAATCCTGCTAAGCTCTTGTCCCATTGATATCTTGTGGCTGGGAGTTCGGCAGCCTATTTGAGCACTGTGTGATTTTACAATTGTGACATTCCCACAGACACGCTTTCTGGCCCTGCAGTTCTGAGTGTGGCCCATTGTATCATGACATGCGTGTAAACACATGGCAAGTGCATGGTGAAAATGGTCATTGCATTTATCTGCCCTGCATTGAAGCTATTTATAAACGTGCTTCATTGCCTCATATATATACTTTTTTTCTCCACCCCTAAGAGCTCAAATTATGCTACTGTCTCTTTTCAGCACATGGCATAAATTCTTGGGGCCAGGTTCTAAATTCAATAACTGATTTCAATAGCATCACTCCAGATTTACATGTGTAAATTCGATCAGAACTGGGCTATATTAAGTTTCCCTTATCAAATGCTCCCGCTGATCACCCCCACCATCAGGGGCTCATTCACCTGCACATCTACCAATAGGATATATGCCATCATGTGCCAGCAATCCCCTCTGCCATGTACATTGGCCAAACCGGACAGTCTCTACGCAAAAGTGTAAATGAACACAAATCTGACATCAGGAATCCTAACATTCAAAAACCAATAGGAGAACACTTCAATCTCCCTGATCACTCAAGAAAAGACTTAAAAGTGGCAATTCTTCAACAACAAAACTTCAAAAACAGACTCCAATGTGAAACTGCAGAACTGGAATTAATTTGTAAACTGGACACCATCAAATTAGGCCTGAATAAAGACTGGGAGTGGTTGGGTCATTACAAAACCTAAACCTCATTTCCCCCATACTAATTTTCCCCTACTGTTACTCACACCTTCTTGTCAACTGTTTGAAATGGGTCACTCTCATTACCACTACAAAAGTTATTTTTCCTCCCTTGGTATCCTGTTGTTAATTGAATTGTCTCATTAGACTTACCACACACTTGGTAAGGTGACTCCAATCTTTTCATGTATTTATATCTGCTCCTGTATTTTCCACTCCATGCATCTGATGAAGTGGGTTCTAGCCCACGAAAGCTTATGCCCAAATAAATTTGTTAGTCTCTAAGGTGCCACAAGGACTCCTTGTTGTTTTTTCTAACCCCCAAGAATCCCTCCAACAGGAGCTGAAGTGTGTTGCCTACCCAGCGTTGACTGAATCCAGAGCGTTTCATCATCCTACAAGCTTCTCTTCATCCTCACAGGACCTGCATCCTCTCCCCATGCAACAGTCTGTGGGTATCTGGCAATTTTCAAGCTAACACAGATGGTTACTTCAGCTGGGCAGGGGAGGGGTTGGCATCACAAATGGGTGAATAGTGCAAACACTAGGTTTCCACTAATATCCAGGTGAGCGTGCAAATTACTTCAGCCATGCTCATGTCAAAGTTGATGGGCGGAAATTACATACAACCACTATCCCATTCCCCTTTCTGGCACCTCAGCTCTACTCTTTGTTGAAACACAAACCAGAGGTTCTATTCCCTCAGGACTTTTTGGAAAGTCTTGCACAAGTCTTGCAAAGTGGTTGGATGCATGACCCTGAATGTAACTATGAGCAACAGCTTCTGGTCAGTTACCAGAAGACAGTATCTTACAACTGTTCACTGAACAAAGAGTTAATAATACAAACCTATTGCAATCAGTATTTTCAGTACTTCTATAATACTTTATAAAGCAAAAGACATTAAGCAATTCAATGACCACTGCCCCTTTCTGTAGCAATTCCAGCAACTATGCGGCTGGCTTTCAATATACATGGCTGTCATAAAAGTTTGGTTTGTAATATTTGCATTACAGAGGTTTGGGCATAATATTTACACATCTGTACTTTAGTACATGCATGTGAACCCATTATTTCCCCTCTGATCTGCTTTCAAAGATGATTTCTCTAGTTCAGGCCCGCCAATGGGGGTTAGGGGGCAATTGCCAGGGGTCAGAGTGGGACTTAAAAGGTAGTGTCTGTCATCTGGATTTCTTCAGAACCTGAAAAGGTTGCAGCATCTCAGCCTTCATGCGGTTGCTTGTCATCAAATAAAGGTCTAGTAGCTCCCCTGTCCCTGAGTTAATAGCTGACTGGATCTCCTCAGGTTCTGTTCTGTCAGTCTGTAGCCCGTATCCGGAGTGGTAACGGGCCTTGGGGTCAGTATAGAAAATATTCATTCCCTGAGCTGTCACTGTCTAGTACAGAGTAACCCCAGCACCTGTTATTCAGGCACGATGAGGGTTTGCAGGAAATGGATTTCAAAGGCAAGTGCAGGAGTGTTCATGGAAATGGAACCTCATTTCACACACAAAAGTAGTCTATTGCTCTCGCTTTCTCTGACAGTCTCTGTCCTGTATTCATAAAGTCTGTAGTACCCGGGAATGGCATTGGGATAGACATGGATCGGAGCATACCACTCGGACCTGCTCAGCAAGCACAGTCGACCCGCAGTGTGATGTACTCCAGGGCCCAGTCTGAGGGTGGGAGGATCATGGGATTCCACCCCATGAGTGGTCAAGGTAGGAGGCCTGACACTTGACACTCAGAGACCTGAGAGGGGCCGGAGATGCAAGTAGCCCTGTAACTCAGAGGGGTGTCTACGGGGCAGAAGTGCTGGAGCCCTCAGCCAGTCAGAAAACAGAAATATTGGACCCGTTGGCAGATAAACCTGAGACGAGTGGGGAACTAGTCGCTGACATTCCGTGGTATCTCCTCTCACTCAGCTCCTGGCAGGGTCGGGCCCCGAGCACTTTGAATGTCAGATTTTTGCACAACTTTAATAACCCAGTGTGGAGCATGGGCAGATGTAGGGGAGGGGTTCCCAAGCCACCTAACCCTGCCTGCCTTCAAATGAAAACAGCTTGCAGCCTTTTCCCTTCACTTTGCATTTTAAAGGTAGTGAAACCTGCCAACGTACCCAGTTCCTGCTAGAAGGGGAGCAGCTGACATCAGAGAACTTCACTGTAAAGGAGAAGGGGGTCATTGGAGAGGATACTACATGGGCAGCAGGCAGTATCTGTTCCGATGGGGAGGCAACTGTCTTTATGAAGCATGTTCACACATTCCCTTGGGGGCCACTTGGGCATCAGGGAACGGCAGCTGCTTGGCTTAGTGTGCACCAACTTTAACCCCATCACAGCCAATGGCAAACAGCAGGAGGCCAAATCACAGGGGATGTTGGTGGTTCTGCCCAACTGGACGGCAGCACCAGCCCTGCTGCAGGCTCTATTCCTGGAATCCGGGCTTGTTGTCACTGTTCATATGGTTCTGATTAGTCACAGGGCTATGTGGGGGTGGCCGAGTGGTAACGATGAGGCTGTCACAGGTGTGAGCAGGCTGAAATAAAATTTAAAACATAGAATAATAATAATATAGGTCAAGATTTCTCCTCGGCAGCTCCCTTTCCTGAATTACAAACCCAGGTTGCAGGCCAGAGACGGGAGATTCCACAAGGCTCCCGACAGGGAAATTTCCCTCTGATCGTTCCAGGAGGGGAGGTCCCGTCCCTTCTCCCTGAGGAATGAAAAGGGGACGCAGGATCCTGGGATCCCCAAAGTTAGGCACAGATCTCAGTGATCCACTGGTAGCTAGGCCCCCCACCCACAATCTCTGGGCCTCCACAACAGCTCTAGGACCCTCTCCAGCTCCCTGCTAGCACAGGTTCATCAGAGATGTGCTGCCAGGACCTGTCACAGTAGCCACTGCCCACAGGATCTGCTGAAGAGGTGTTGTACAGGGTGGAGGGGGCTGCACAGAGATGGGAGGGCTGGTCAGAGTAGCTGAGGGGCACAGTACCCCAGCCATAGACTGGTGGAGATGTTTCGACATTTCCATGCCCAGAGTGCAGCCAGAGACTCCGTAGTGCAATTTTCCTTTATGTTCTGAGGACCAGGCAGATGAAAAGCCTCCAATTTCTCTTGGGGACCCAGGCAGCTGCAGCTGGGCAGCATCATGGCAGCTGAGCTTTCAGAGAAATGATCCATTTTCTATGAAAACTCACCCCCAAAAATGGATGGAAAAGAAACAATTTATTTTGGGTCAAAATTTTTTGTAGGGGGAAAAAACTGTTTTCCAGCCCAGCTCTCACTCAAACCATGAGCCTCTGTCCCTTGTGCTACAGGACCATGTACCTAGGTGACAGCACTCATCCCCCATTGGCCTCCCATATAGAGTGTCCTCTTAGGGTGTCCATATTTCCCAAAGAGAAAACAGGAGACCCCCAGCTGCTTTACTGAGTCCCCTCCCCGCTGACCCCGTGCGAGGTTGTCGCACATCATTGGAATCCTATAGGGCCCCCGTCAGGTCTCAGAAGTCTGTCATGTGTGGCTGGAATCTGCCCCCCCAGGTTTGCCTCACCCCATACAGGAGGGCTGGTGTCTCCACTCACCTCCCCCGAACATTCCTCTGTTCACCACTTCCCCGCTTTTGTGGCAGAAATGGGCGTTAGTCTCGTTGGCTCTTGCCAACTGATCAAGTCAGGAAGAGAAAATGGGACAAATGCCTCCTTTTGACAAAAAAAGTAGGGGCAGCTGAGAGAGGGCTTAAAAAAGGGACTGTCCCAGCCAAAAGTGGATGTATGGTCACTCTACCGTGGACGTTTGC